ATCCTCTTCCATAAAAATGTAACTTTCCTCATCTTGCAACTTTGCCGCCTCGTAATATGTAGAAACTATGACGGAACCGCTACGCATCGCAATGCGGTAGAATGCCCGTCGCGCGCGCGCGCGCGGCGAACTCTTCGAGCGAAATAAAATTCCCCGCGTTACGACAATGTGTTTGAGCGAAACTCAAACGTACGATTTAATATTTCCGACCTTATCGCGTCGGTCGGCCCTCGTAGCGGCCCTCGTAGCGGTAGTCGAGATTCACCCGACGAGGAACATTTCCGACAAATTCACGTGAGACCCACGTCGAGGTGAATTACGACGCGAGCGAAAGTTACGAAGCGCGAAGCTCACGTTTGCCTTTGTGGTCCAGTGTCAATAACTCGCCGCGAGTGGAGAAAGCAATTTAAACGTTCACTCGGCACAGCGGCGGCTCGTTTTTTCCACATCCTGTATTACAAATGATAATCTTATCCTTTGTATTCATGAGAACACTCGGAAATCGCTACATTTGTCGCCGGCGGATTAAGAGCCGGCGCGACGGAGCCGGAGCGCGCACGCAGAAATTTCAGCCTGGGAATCCTGCCGTTGGCATTTGGCTGTCGCGAGTTAAAAACCCGACCGTTTCAGAAACGGACGACAACGTCGAGCGTCTATCCGACGAGACTCGTCCGCCGGATTGAGCACCTCGCTCTCCCCGTCCTCTCTCCCCCTCTCTCTCTCTTCCTCCTTCTGTCTCCCGCGACGCGACGCGTCTCCTCCGCCGTTTCTAATCACGAAACGGGAGTAACCGTCCTCGGGGAAAAATCGGCCCACTCTTTTTCGTCCGGTTCGCCGATGACACGACGGACGGAGGGGGGGGGGGAAGGGGAGAACGAGCGCCCCGACGTATGACTGAAAGAAAAGTCTCATCTCGTTAGACACTAACCGAATCTACGACGATAAAGCTCCGAGTACGAGGAGGTCCTGGCGGGTCGCCGGCTGCACGATGCGAGCACATTGCCGAGCTTTTTGTCGGTTTTCATGGCTGCCGTGCCGACGTCGCTCCCGTTGCGCCGGCTGCATTTTGACGAAGAATTTTGCACCCTTGGGGAACGCCGCGACGTCGTCGTCGTCGTCATCGTCGCCGTCGACGTCGTTGTCGTCGCATGTCGAGCCCGACGATGACTCGCGTCGTCGTTTCCTTCGCGCGATCCGCCAGCGTCGTCGTCGTCGTCGTCGTCGTCGGCGGCGAGGCTTCTTATGTAAATCCGCGACTCGCCCCGCGCGCGGCACTCCTGTCGTCGGGCGAATCCTCCTCCACTCGCAATTATCGAATTCCTGCCGCCGGTCGTCCTCGCGCACCTGCTCTCGCTCGCTCCGTCACGCACGCTCCCATCGACTTGCGTTACATTGTCTGAAACATCGCAACGAACAGAGCGCGAACGCGAACTGCTGAACGGATAATCCTTTCGCGGTGGCGAGACGCGTCCTCGTCGCGAACTAAATAAACGATTCTCCGCGCGTGTCTCGCTCGAGCTGCCGAACGAGATCTCGAATGAGACAATGCTTCCCGCTCCTTAATATTCATTAATACCCAACTGAATTCTTTTCTCCATCTTTTTCCCACTTTTTTCCATCGTTCCTCGCGTACCCTTAGATATCGACTGCGCCCGTGTAACGGCAGTATGTGCAATTTGTCCTGTTCGCTTAACATTGATTTATCGCTTAATATTCTCGGCACAATCTTACCGGGAAAACATAATAAAGCTCACTTCACTCCGTCCCCCTCGCCGTTTTGCCCGCTGGAATCGATTGTGGAGGATTTCCTCGCCGTTCCGCCCGCGTTGCTTCCCTTATCCTCGTCCCCACTCTTACCCCGCTCAACTTTTCTCGTCGTTTTAATTATGTCCGCCGAGTTTTACATTACCGCGGACGACGAGTCGTTCCCGTCAAGCGGACATTACGTTTTATATTATTTAATTGGTACTGTCGTTAACGAGGCGATCGATCGCCCGTGCTCGCTCGCTCGCTCGCTTCGATGCCGCGCTCCCAAACTTTCGACCGACTTGCTGGCCGTCACATTGACGGTACCGTGCACTGATCATTAATTAATTAGCGCGCGATATCTGTGTGCTCATTCATTCGTCGACGAAAGTAGAGAGAGAGAGGAGGAGGAAGAGGAAGAGAGACCGTCGCGACTCGAACCGTCGGGTTTCTCGGATTACGCCGAATCACGTTAAATCGCGGGCCGCATCGTCTCTCGCCGCCACTTTATCATACGCGTACTTTGCGCACGTACACGCAATTATTCCTCGCTAACGAGACAAGGAGGGAAAATACATTCAGGTGCAGTCTGATAAAATAGGATTTTAATCAGGGGCAGCGTCGCGAAACAAATGTCTCTGCTTCGAAACGTTATCTCTCATCATCAGCAACATTGTCACACGTGTGTGTGTGTGTGTGTGTATGTGTATATGTATGTGTATGTATGTCGTAAGAGATAATGCTCTTTTCGCTTCTTCGGTTAACAGTTAATTAATTTGAAATGCATGATCGCGTCGTCCGAAACGAGGACATTTCTCGCCGAAAATGGATAAAACGCCTGGAATCGCGGCGATAGTTAACATCCTTTAATCGGATTGTATTTACTCGATGACTTTTTCCTACCGCTTATCCAGGCGGACGTCGTTAATGTTGAATTTAGGTGACACAATTCGCTCTCGAGAAATTCTTCGGCGGATTTCACCGCTCGGAGGTTATACGTATCGTCCTTATCTTCGTTGTTCGTCGAGGCGCTCCTCTCCAAGGAACCCTCCGCGACGTTCTCCAGCGAGTCCAATGAGTACTCCGACATCGTCCGAGAGAAATTTCACTTGGCGCAGAAAACGGTTTAAAAAACACGCCAGAATGCGTGTTAGGTGGCGACATTAATGTTGATTAATCCCTGTTTTTCGTGCGGCAAACTTCGCGCTCTTTCCACAACTCCACAAGTTGACCTGGAAAAAGTGTATGTACGCTAATAAATCGTACGCAGGACACATTTAAATTTTAAATGAATCAACTTTTTCACGCGAAATAACCTTGTGCTTTACGTATACAAGTATCTGTGTTAATACATCATCATCATCATCATTTTGAGTTACTGTATTCCAGTGACCGATGATTTATTGACCATCAGTATCTTTTTCCCAACGATATATATTAAAAGAAAGACAAATGAGTAATTAATAATTAATAACCGCACAATTAATAATGGTACAATAAGAGCACGAGTGAAAAATTTTATATTTTGGTCATCAGATGGCAGCATCTCCTGAGCGATACGATAAGCGTCATCTTTGCGCGACATGTAGCAACATATTAAGAGATAAAGTCACCGCTCTTCGTTATTCAGGGAAGTTGGACCTCCTTGTTATACCGACGAAACATTGTAAAAGTTTGATCAACTCGGGGCTTTAGGTTAATCCAATGGTGTGGAAACCCCCGCAAGTCGGCTGCGGCAATATCCGGTCGCACAAAATTTCAGGTAGTCAATATAAGCTGGTTCTTCCTGAACCAACGTGATGTTTAACGCTGTTAAATTGTGGTTCAAGACTCAGCTAAAAATAGATTTTAGTCGAGACTCGAGCCACAATTTACCGGCCTCCGTAATATTGGGCCGAAATAAATCAGGCATTTTTTTTTAGTGATCTTTTAGAATTATATTCGATGATACTTGTTGAGTAATACAAAATGACTTTATCCTCGAGTGTTAGGAAGATAACGTCAACCTTACGAAATAGATGTCCTCTCGGACTTCTCTCTGAATCTAGCCATGCGAGCCTCTGAATGCGAGACAATAACTGAACAAGTTTCCTCATGACGGCACCGGATGGCGCCTGACTGTCCATTAACAACATTATTAAATATTATTATTATTATTGAACATGACAACGAGTCAACTCACAAAGAATTTTATTTTATCTTTAAGTATTATGGACTCAGCAATGCGCGCAAAATTTTGCGCGCAAAAAATTTAAATTAATTTAAATTCGTTTAATTCGAGTTAAATTCGTTAAATTAATTTAAATTAATTTAAATTGGTTTAAATCTATTAATTTAAATTAATTTTTATTTAATTTAATTTAAATTAATTTTAATTTAATTTAATTTAAATTAATTTTAATTTAATTTAATTTAAATTAATTTTAATTAGTGCGACCGAGACGTGATAAAGAAAAACAACGGGCCGGCAGATCTTATATCTTCCGAGATCGATATCTCAAAGTCTGCAAATGGGAGAATATAACAAAGGAGGAGGGATGAGCGATCATTTCAAACGAAATTTTATTTCAAAGTGAACACTGCAACAAAGTGAGAGATAATCCGAGAAAATGTCTCGCGAAGTCCGCACATAAATTTGGAATATCTGAAATTGTCTTCGCTTTTATTTATAAGTAATCCGCGACCGATAAGGCGATATCCTCGAAACGAAGATCGAGCTCGATATAATATCGATGCGAGGACGATTCGTCCAATGCTGTAGATACGAAAAATACGTGTCTTTTTATTCGACACAATAAAACCATAGCGGCCGTTTCTCTCTCTCTCCCTCTCTCTCTCTCTCTCTCTCTCTCTCTCTCTCGCGTGTCCGTGGCGTTAAAATTCGAATTTATTCAGATTATAACGAATCGAGTGCGCATCGTAGAACTATCGAGCAACATGAATAAAGATTACACGCTATCTATAATGACCGATAGGAGGAGATCGTCCAATCGCTGGTGCACGATAAACTTCGAAAACGCGCATTTTTCCCTCCGGCCACATCTCGACGTTTACGTTACATAACCGAGCCATATTGCGCTCGTTCGTCGTTACTCGAATCTAGCTGTTTAATAGAGCACACAGAGAAGAAGGGAGAGGAGATAGTTTTCGTCGTCATCGTCGTCGTCGTCGTCGTCGCGAACGGGAGGTGCTGCTGCACACGGGCCGGGCGTCACTGGAGAGCGGAGATATATCAATCGTAGCAGGTACCAATTGTAAGCTAATGTATTATGTACTGTTGCATAAAGCACCGCGCAACATATATGTATGCTGGAGCATACATGTTAAACGCGTTTCAAGGCGAAGCCTGTTCTCTCAACAGTACATCGCCTGATCGCAGCAACGCAACGCCGGAGGAATGCTCGACCACGTTCGGCATGGGTGAAACTAGTACTTATCGCATTAATCGATAAGCGCGCAGTGTCCGATGAGATCTAATACATACATATATATATATATATATACATATATATATATATATATATAACTTCGGCGGATATTGAGAGCTGGAAGAAGAAATCAAGATTTGGAAATCGCGATACGCGCCGTAGTAGTTGCCCGTGTGATGCGAAGTATCGTTGGACGCGAATGCGACGCGCCGACAGAATCGCGGTCGGTCGATTTTGCAATGAAAGAATTCCTTCTCCAGCTGAACGGCCACGACGATTCGTAGCGAATGTAGCCGCGTTCGTGTGAGCTTTCGCGAAATCTCGACCGCGAATTATTTCACGTTCGCGTTCACCGAGTAATAAGTACAATTAAAAAGTACTCATTGCGCGCGCTCGCGTTTGTTCCGCCTCCAGGAAGAAAAATATCATCCACTCGACGCGATGACAATCTTTTCGAAAATAATATATTAATTACGATGCGCCGGCTTGTTAAGCTACCGAGTTGCAGCAGATCGGGTATCGGGTCGGAGAGGAGATATCTGCTCGCGATGTATATACTTTGATAATCTCGATAGCCTCTATTTCGCCGCAACGAGAAGTGGAAAGTTTAAAATTTGCGGCGATCTCTTTATCGCACACCGTTAGCCGTACGTTCAATAACTTCGAAAACTTTGATTGTCTTACGTGACCGATCCATCGTGCGGTTGAAGCAAATACTTCATTTATGATATGTATCAATGATACTAACAGATTAATATCGAGGAAACGTCTATAAAATAGCGCGCTAAAATTCGTCACTTTAGTTGAACTCGGTACATCTGAGAGACAGGTAATTTTGAATTGTTTTGTTGTCGAAGTTCACGAAGGTTTTCTGTACGTGTTATGCGTACGTATCTGCACGATTACAAGTAGATTAGGTCAAACCGAACAAAGGTTTCTTTACCACACTTTGCGAACAATCGCTGAGTAAAGCAAATGAAACAGAAAAGTCCATTTCGCGAAAAACTACACGTAAAATTTTACGCGATTGTCCGCGAGATAGTAGAAAGGAGTTCTTTTTATTTCATTTGTCCTAATCCACACGTGTCACGAGAGTGTCCGTGTAGATTAGTAGTAATAGTCTCGCTAGCTTGACGTCCTAGAGTGGCAAATCTTGAGATTCATCCTCTCTGATTAGAGAAATGGAGAACGTTAAGGAGATTAGAAATTCTAAAGTTGACGATGAGCTACTCCGATAAAGCTATATCGGATCTGGCAAAACCCTAGCGACTACGACGCACGTAAAAAAGGGCGTATCAATGAGCGATTTCTTCCAGCCAGTCGCGCAATATCACTCCCCGCTGATAATTGTTTTCGCGTTCTCGCGCTTATCTCGCAGGAATCATGGCACGAGCGGCTGATCTACTATTAAGAATGCAAACAGTTATCAGATTTCCTACCATGACAAGCGCCGTCTTTTCGCAACTGAGATTTCATTTTTATAACTTTTTCCGCTATCATTATGCGAACATAGATAACAACGTGATTTATCGTTCAATTTGCTCATTTTGTTGTTGCGTATATATATATATATATATAATATAATTTAGAATAAGGAATTTTTTAGTACATTATTTTTTTTCTTTCTTTTTCAATAGAATAAAAGAATTGTTTGCCTAGTATAAAATTGCGTTTGCTCTCCTTATTGAATTCATCGCAAGTTTACAGCCACTCTGTGTGTCGCACGTGTTATACATAATATAAAAAAATATACGTACAAGAAAATTGTTAAAAAATAAAATTCGTAAAAGTTGCATCGGAGCGAGATGCGTTATCTAACATGAATTAAGATATACCTGATACTACGTAATTAAACGTATCTGTATGTTTTAACAAGATTTATAGCGATTAATGCTCTATATCGGTAATTTTTGCGAATGGGTACACGTACTTAACACGTGTCACGTGTTTTCTTATCACGTATCTTTCTGAACGTCAATAGCTAAGATCTATTCGACGGCATGAATCAAAAGTGTTCGCCACTTGACTATCTTCTATCGCCAAATGACTATCTTCGCGAGAAGAAGCGTAGAAATTACGTTTGCAGCATTAGGCGCGCGTGCAGCTCCGAAAAAAATTCAATTTCATCTGATTTACAGCGTCATCATTAAGAGTGCACCTCGTTAAAAAAAAAAAAAAGAAAGACTCGTAATATATTTCCTTCACGATAATAACCCTTGACCATTCCACACGTGGCGTCTGTCGTACCTAATTAAATACCGTTGATAAAATCCGATTTATCGATACAAAAAATATTTCATATGATACGTGCTAGGAAAAAGCTTGTAGTTGAAAAAAATTGATCAGGAATAGAAAATGTATATGATAAGAAAATGAGATAGAAAATATGACATGCGTAATATTTCATATATAAGTAAATATACATATATCTTCTCGAGATATATATTTCAGATACCACACGACGCTCCTGATTCAAGCAGATTCTAATTTCTGCGACGCTTTTATTTTTACAGGCAAGGTTTCTGTATGTTGTACGGGAAAAATGGTGTACATCAACGTCGCCGTCTGCCTGTCTGTACTTCTGCTTATGATTGGATTATCCGTGGGACTGAGCGTAAACACGTTTAAAGGCCGAGACGTTCTCAACTCAGTACCGCTTATCGATGGGTAATTGAGAATTCAATCGTATAATATAGATATATACCTCCTCTATAATTAGAGATGTACCGATAATGACTCGATGAAAACGGAACAGAGTTTCTTCGACACTTTTATTCGCATATTTGATTTATTTTACTGTTTATGAAATGTTTAAAATATCGCTTTGTAATACACGTTAACATATTTGCCATCAGGAATGCAATTTTAATTTCCAATTTTTCTTTTCTCACGCGAACTGAAACGAACGGAAGTGAACAGAGAGAGAGAGAGAGAGAGAGAGAGATGCGACCGTTAATAATTTGCAACAATTGATAATTATAATTCACAGACAATTACATTCGTCGTGGCATTTTACCAAGCAGTACTTTTCGATTCAGCTACCGCTCGCATAGATAAAAATCACACTCATGATTAATATTATATAATATATCCTCTTACGTTTCTCGTTATCTACAATCATTAGTCAATGACAAATAATTGAAAGTTACATCATATCCAAAGACCAATATCCCGCGATCGGAGATTGCAATTAATCTACACTTCGTCGATCTCTCCTCTCGATTCAAAGGTTACTCTCGCTTCCAGCGCAAATGATATTCCCATGCGTGCCCTGCTACGGGCTAATTAACGGCGAGACACGACTATAAATCGCAGTAAATTTCGCCGTAGCGTAATTCGCCTGAAAGCAATGCCCCAATGCGAGAAATGGCGAATCGCGTGACCGGCCGACCGGGATTGGCTTTATCTGCGCGCTCTTATCTGTAAGCGACGATCCGAGTTAAGTTCGTTCATCTTTGATCATTATGTTTGTAGTCACAACGATCTACCGGAGAATCTCTATGAAAAGTTGAGCAACAATTTATCGGGCTTTCACTTCGAAGACGATCTGAGCAACGACGATGCCTGGGGAAGAACCGCCTGTCCCGTATGTCACACCGACTTGCACCGTTTAATTGCAGGAAAAGTGGGTGGACAAGTAAGTGTCACGCGCGACCCACGCTGTGTACACGTTCGATCGCGCGAGATTAATTATCTCGCCGGGAATCCCTCGTCCCATGTTTATTTTGTGCGACTAATCGATTTTCACCTTCTCTCAATGACCTTACCTTATCCTCCTGCCTGCCGGGAAATTATCTGATGTTGCTTTCGTCATGTCCCCCCCCTCTTTCTCTCTCTCTCTTTCTCTCTCTCTCTCTCTCTCTCTCTCTCTCTCTCTCTCTCTCTCTCTCTCTCTCTCTCTCTCTCTCTCTCTCACTCTATCTCTATCTATCTATCTATCTATCTATTTTCCCCCGCTTGTTTGTTTTCTGCTTTGTTTTTAGCTACACCAGCCGTAAAAAGATCATTATCTCCATCCCTTCTGCGAGCCCCTGAAAAACCTATCAGAAAACTAGCCGCGATATGACGACACTGGGACTTCCGCGATAACGAGCATCGCGTTATTTTCCAGTTCTGGGTAGCGTATACCGGATGCGAGTCGCAGTACAAGGATGCCGTGCAACGGACGTTACGGCAGATCGACGTGATAAAGCGTCTAATCGACCGATATCCGACCAATCTGCAATTGGTTACCGTCGCGGCGGATATCGAGACCACGTGGAGGAACGGGAGAATCGCGTCTATGATAGGCATCGAGGGCGGTCAATCCTTAGAGTCGAGCCTGGCGGTCCTCAGGCTCTACTACGAGCTCGGGGTACGCTACATGACCCTGACTCACACCTGCAATACACCTTGGTACGTTGCATATCGTGCACCTCGCTATTCGCATGGTGCGAATGGAAACGCGATGGAATTTTTGGCTCACTTATCGCGAGGTTCATTTTAAAGAGGAAATAAATCTTCTAATCGTATCCCGTGCTTCGTCCCTCTTTCTCTCTCGAACGAGGAGGGAAGGGGAGGAGAGAGTAAGAGAGATAGGCGCGGAGGCGATATCAAGATCGCGCGAGAAAAGATTCCAGTAGCGTGACACAATCGGAAACTTCCTTGATTTTTATCTTTTCCACTCGCGCAAGACACGCGCGCCTCGCATTTTCGCCTCGCACCGTAATGGATTTATGATAAATCCCATCTCTTCGCTTCTCCACAGGGCCGACGCGTCGTCCGTAAATGACGGATCTGTGTACAATCTGACGGAATTCGGAAAAGTACGTGAGAACGATCGCGATGCGTTGTTATTGTTTGTTTTAAATCGAGACGCGCTGCGCATTTTCTGTTTCGCATTCTCATACGATGGAAAAGCCCAAATTGCTCGCGCCGCATTTCGCGTGACACGCGATGATTTATATCAGATTGTGTTGTGATAGCGAATTGCTGATACCTTACGCGGCGTCATTAACCGGGAAATAAGACGACATGATGGGATCAAGCAGAGATATATCGAAAATCTGATTAAGCGAGGACACGTCAATGGAGCGATTAAATCGAAATAGCTAAAAATATATGCACGCCTTTCGTGACATTTGAATAATGAGCTCAGAAATAACTTTCTGCGAAAGCTGCATGATCTCTTTTTACATCAATTTTATCGATCGCACGGCGTGTCATGTCGGATGAAACGCGGCTCGATGCGATTTTCGTGAAAACAAACAGAAATTCCAAGCCGGTCTCCGGCTGTCTCGATAAACTTTGCTTCAGATTCTGAACTCTCTTTTATCGTTGAAAGTAACTATAAAAATGGCTTATCAGTCTCCCGACTGGTTGTAAGCCACTTTTAGAGTCACTTCTAGTGACGAAAGAGAGTCCAGAATATGGACCTTTGTAAACGCTATGAACTGTAGAAAATCGTTCTCGAAATGAATCGAATTGGAATGATGGTCGACCTGGCGCACGTGTCGCACAACGTTATGAGGGATGTGCTCGCAGTGACGAGGGCTCCCATCATATTCTCGCATTCGTCCGCCTTCAGCATCTGCCAGAACTACAGGAACGTCCCCGACGACGTTCTGCACTCGGTCGTGAGTACGAAAATTCTCTCAGAGAGAAGATGACGAGTCGAATTGATGAGCATTCCTTCCTTCCAGAAAGAGAACAAGGGTATCGTTATGGTGAACTTCTACAGCGGTTTCGTAAACTGCAACTCCTCGCGAAACGCCACATTGCAGGATGTCGTAGGTATTGTATTTTTAATCATACTCAGTGGAGTGCAATTCTCCTCCTCATTTCCCGATGAGTTGCGCATCTGAGGCTTTTATTATTCCGACGACCGATCAGTTCCGATTGGTTTCTCATGCGCAATGTTTATCTCCTGTGAAGTGTCAGTCCCGCTCTGATTAGGTATCGGAATTTTTAGATCATATAAATTACATACGAAATCTTATCGGAGTGGACTACGTCGGTATTGGCGCAGATTACGACGGTGTAAATTCGTAAGTAATTACGTCGACATTAGTTGTGCGATTATAATGTTAATTACACGTGGCGAAGCCCGTGAGAAGAAAAAAGGGAGCATGTCGAGTTGAAATTTTCACCAGACTACCGGTGGGCTTAGAAGATGTATCGAAGTACCCCGATCTGTTCGATCGTTTGTACGACAGCAGAGAAGGCGAGCCAACGTGGACTAAGGAGGACTTGGAGAAGCTGGCCGGCAGAAACTTCATACGGGTTTTCCAGATGGTAGAAACGGCAAGTATAAAAATTATCGAGGATAGATAACGCGCCGGCGAAGGTGACATCGTTTGTTTTTCTCAATCTATTAACTTACATATCTGACTTGTCGAAAAAAAAAAGGTGCGGGACTTTTTATCATCCGAGATGCCCCGAGAAGACATTATCACCGGAAATGAATTATATATCGCGCAAAAGAGAGCAGGGCTTAAGCCAGGCGAGTGCCAAACCGCGGATGAGTGAGTATTATTTTGCGAAAGAAATCATATTTTATCCGGCGAAATGTCAATCTTCAAAAATGTCTGACTTGTCACGGAGAAAAAGAAAAACGACGCTATTTCTGTCTTCCGATATCTAAAGATACTTCCCCCCCTACCATTTCTCAGGTGGAAAGACGTAGATCCAGTATTAAAAATTGAATAGAAGAATGCGAAGAGCGAGACACGATAACGATTACTCCACCGATGATTCAACTGATGATTCCAATTGAACGATACCTTCCGCGAAGATGCTAATATTAGAATCATCGCGATAAAATACTCCTTATTTCTCTTCCCCCCCCCCCCCCCCCCCCAGGAAAGACAATATTTCGTAATATTTTTGTCAGAGAGCAGAGTAAGAATAACTTGCTTTCTCGACGTACATGTATAAAGCATATTTCGCTATCTATGTGCAATTTTCCTGTTTTGTGTCGATGGATTAAAATGTTTACGACAACAACAATAAAATAAGGCGAAGATGTGTTACCTTCTGGATATAATAAAGGATGCAATTTATATTACAGAATAAGTCACACACGTTCAGTATCCCCCCCGCATGCGTGTTATATAAATCAAAATCAAAATGTACTTGTTCTCTGCACTTAACGATATCTGCCTCAAGGACATTATCTTCTCATCGAATAACCTGTCGCAATTTATAACTGTCCGTCGCATGAAGTGCACGAGATATGATGACTAAACTCGGATTTCCCAGCCAGTAATTAACAAAGCACTTCATTACGACACATGCGCGCCGATTTTTGTAAAATGACTCCTCAGTTTATCGAACTAGAATGTAATCATGTTAAAATTCTGACTTGATTAGTCAACACTTTAACTTGATTACGCGATAATCGAGATATTATTGATAATTAATAAAGAACTTTACTTTTCGTTATGCGCTGTTTTTACGAAATAATTGACTTGTAATTTATCAAACCTGTGCAATCAAGTTGATTTTTAAATTGTTTACTTTAACTTGTTTACGTAATAATCGAAATATTAAATTAGTGATAAGATGTCGATCATTGCTAATTACAACAATACATGAACATACAAGAACAAGAAATGGAACATATTGTGTTTTTATAGGTTTTTACATGTTTATTTTCTTAAAATATTGTATTTACCAATAATCACACACACTGTTTTCATATAACAAGTTCATAACAAATATATAATATAATGTCCGTATAACAAATAATTTAAATCTTATAAATATCTTACTTTTTATCATCACAAGCATACATATATAATCATTATATATATATATAAAAAGACGAAAGTCTTTGGCATATTTTCCTATTTCTTATTAAGAAATTCATTTCGTTCATAGATATACGTCATCGTATATCACTCTTATCCTCTACAAAAATCTTACAAAGATAAAAAAGATATTATCTTGATGTTGAAATACTATCGCGTATCTTAATCAATCTACGCTAAAGATCACGATATTCGTAATTATCGCTATTTACATGCGCGATATTAAAAGAGATTAAATAGATGTATTGAGAGAATAAGTATAAATAAAATATCAATCAATCTAACATAGTTGTCAAAAATATACACGTTCTAATCCTATCGTGGTCGACTCAACATTGGTCAGCGGCTCTCGATATAATCTTCCCTCTCGACGGAGTCGGACCATTCTATGAAATCTGCAGGCATGTGCATTAGTTTGATCTCCGACGTTAATTTCTCCCTGAAAAAGAAGAAGGAAATTTCACACATCTCGTTGGATGCTAAAAGGGAAATCAGGCTAAATCGTGCAAGACTGTCTCTGAAAGCGAATGGTTCGCGGACTTTAAAAACGTTTCATCCGTTACATCAAGATACTAGAGCACGATATCATAACGATCGTGATGTGAAGTTAACACACACGCACACACACACTTGCAAGATAATATCCAGAGAGAGAATGACGTTCGCGGACTGGCACTTGAAAGTGATAACAGTCAAACTGACACCAACCATTGACTCTTCCTGATAATCGGCACGACCATTGGGCTTGGGAATCCATTGAACGTGCTGGATATGGATAAAGTGTAGGCACCCATGTCCTTCCAGACCAGCCAATCGCCGATGCGAAGTTCTGGCATCAACACGTCCTTAAGGATGACATCGTACGAGTCGCAGGTCGGTCCCCATAGGCTCGAAATGAATTTCTCATGGCTGTCAGGCTGCGGCGGTAGAAATTGCGTTGATTATCATGATTGATCTTACATCGACGAAGGATACGGCCGTACCAAGAGGTTACACCCGCAAAGGAAAAGGAAAGCGTGGATTACCTCGAAGAGAAACTGCGGGTATCTAGCTTTCAGGCCCAACATCTCCTCTATGAACGAATTATACACTCCGCAGTTCACGTAGTACATTCTCATGAGCTTGCCGCTTCTGCGAACAAGCTTCTTCGAGTGCAAGTACGATGCCAGGGTAAACGCTGAAGTGACGTAGTACTGCCCCGGCTCGCTGATGACCCGTATGCTAGGATCGAGGTCTTGGATCGCGTCGTTCACGATATTGGCCAGCTGAGGAGAAGATTAATCGCGAGACGATTAGTCGCGGCTGGCTCTGCTATCGCGACGCAGACGACGCGATGAGACGTAACACGCGAGAAAACGGACATTTTTGTCGATGTTTACCTTATCGATGTCCGTGTCACTTGCGCCTGGAAAACCGCCGCCGATGTCGATCATCTGCACGTTCTCGCAGCCTATCGCCCGGGCGATCGCAATCAGTTGCTTGCATATCCCGATGCCCTTACTGAACGCGCTCATCTCACCGCACGGGCTGCCGACGTGGAAGCTGAAGCCGTGCAACGTCAGCCCGAGGTCCTTCGTCAGTTGTATCAGTCGCACGGCTTCCTCGTCCGGCTCGCAGCCGAACTTCGATCCGAGGGGGACCAGCGAATTCTTCGAGTCGCATCGTATTCGTATCACGATCCTGTCGCGAGATCATTGCGGGAGATTACATTATGCTGCGCTGACGTCAAACGATAGGGTGTAAAGTACAGAGAGATAGGAAGCGCGGAACGCAGGACATGCATCTGTTAATACATAAGGACTGATAAAAATCAATCGCGAATCTCGATAAAGACAATCACGAAGATTGTCGGCGGTGTACGGTGATACTCACTCGGCCTCGGGGTAAAGTTCCTTGATCTTCAGGAGCTCCAGCTCGCCATCCACCGTCATCCGACTGACGTTCTTCTTCTTGGCGAATTTGATGTGGGACGGGCACTTGGTCGGGTTCGCGAATATGATGCGATCACTCTGCACGCCGTACTGCATCACTTGCCTGATCTCTTGCTATTATTGACATATTACGTACACGATGAGCTTATACCGTTCTTTTTCCCGGGAAAGAAGGGAATTGTGCGACTCGTAAGATAATAGAGGACTCGTTACTCGAGTAATAGGATATTCCATAATTGGGAAAGTACGTCGTTCGAATAACTCGACTCAAAGAGACGCCAACGATCGCGACTCGAGTTCTCTTTCACCGCGTCCTTCATCTCGACCGACACGGCAAGGTTGTAGTAAAAAGCGCAATAACATACCTGAGACGCGCAATCGAAACCAGCGTTCAAAGCAGCCAACACCTTGATGACCGTCGGGTCGGGATTGCACTTGACCGCTGAAATTTCGAAGAAACATCGGTTTATGATGAGCGGCCAGGCAGAGCCTCGAAACTGTCGAGGGAAGATCCTCGAGGACGCGGAACATACACGGCGAACGTACCGTAGTGCGGGATGACCTTGGGCATCTTGGTGATCCATTCGTGATGCTTCCTAATAATATCACCAATGTCCACGATGTAGAAAGGGTCCTCTTGATCCTCCATGGCGATTATGGTTCTAATGATATCCATGTTCTCCACCGCATCGTCGAAGACTTTGAGCTCGTTGAAGTCGTGAAGAGACATGTCGTCCGATGACCGATGCTAACGTACGAAACGAGCGCAACGAACTCTCCGTGTGAAATGTGCCGCTGTGCAGAAAAGTAAAAGCACTTAAGTACTTATAAACGGTCCGAGATATTGTGATAAGCATTGTGTCCCACGCTAAATACAATCACAGCCAGTACCCCGTTTGCTCAGCGATAAGATTCCTGGAAGTCAATGCAAGCTTCTATTGGTAGACTGTATCGTTACGCGAAGATTATACACGAGGGATTCCACGCAGCAATGCGACCACTCATCGTCGAATAAACAAAAATGTGTCAGTGCTTGCTATTAGAACAATTTAGAGAACAACTTATCTTTAATACTCTTTTTATTAATTTTATTAATAATAATCCGGGCAGATTTATACATCCTGTATGACTTGCTGAAAATATAGAGAGAGGAGAAAGAAGACAGACAATGCGTATATTAGGAATATGTACACAACTAGAGTGAACAATTCAGATATTACTAGTAATAAACAATTCTCTAATACAAGAAAGAAGAATGAGATTTCAGAGAGAAACAAAAGAAATAAAAGTCAAGTTAAAAATTGACTGTTCCGACACTCCTCCACCAATTTAACTGTTATAGGATTGCGCCGTCAGGAAGAATCACACTTTCACGAAATAGTAATGTACACGATATGACAATTTTATTCTGTAACCAATAAATGAAAACGAAAGAAAAGGAAAACTTATTATATATCGACTCGCGCACAGACTCCTATTTTTCGAATATCGAAGTCGAAAATCGTGTCTATCTTCCTCTCTATTGTCTCGTCGTGTTCTCCTTTAGCGTTGCCGTGGCCAACTTTTTATTTGCCTTTCTTTCCGTTCTTCTCTCGTCAACAATGTTAGCAGTATGTAAAAAAAAACAACCAGCATACGTTATTCATTTTTCATGCTTTATCAGTGTAATCAAACCACGGATACTCCTCAACCTTACGATCGATCGGCCAAAAACACGCGTACCTAATTCGACATTCTGACGACTTGTATTTCTTCGTAACGTTTAACAATCGAACGAAATGTTTTTTATATCACGCGAGAGACGCCAACGGTGGATCGTGAGCAACGTGCGTGTGTTCACTTGCGTCTATCTAAAAATCTTGAACCTCGCTCTAATATATGCAGTCTAATAACATAATGAATAGTTAACAAAATTATTCTTATCATTTATCGACGCTTATAATATCGCTAAATTATTGTTATTTGAGAAACTTGTGCAATTTGAAAATTGTGTAATTGCATAATACATTATTATATGCAGATCACATTTCGATAATTGCTGCCAGCACTGAAAATATATAATTCATATTATGTATACTATATAAGTTTTCGCAATACTAGCAATATCGGAACATGGCCATGGTAGCTGTGGTAAGATGCATATTTGTTACAACCGCGCGCGGTAAATGTAGTTGTGACCTTGGCTAACGTAGCCGGATCTGCAGCTACAACAAGCAAGAAAGACACACTAGACTAGATCAGTGCTCGGAATTACTTTCACTTTTTCGACGATTTTTGGAAGTTCTCTTCCACTTATTTCCCTTCATTTTCTTCCTCACTGCACCTGCACGCTATACTCGCTAGCTATACAGGTTGCGTGAAAAGTTCGCGGAGCGGCATCTATAAGTAAACGGTAGAATTATAAATTGTAGTTGGTTATATAGAATCACTCTTCATATGCCTAACCTACCTAGGTTAGGTTTCATTTCCATCTGCCAATTCTTTCTGTGTTTACAAGCCAATTGAAGTTGACGTGTCAGTATATTTGTTTGCAATGGAAAATTTGAAACAGCGTGCAGTGATTGAGTTCTTTGTTAAAAAAGGTTTAAAGGCAATGGAAATTCATTCCGAGATGGTAAATATGTTAGGGGAATCTGTTCCTTCAAAAACAATGGTATGTAAATGGGCATTTGAGTTTCAACGTGGTCGTACAAACGTTGAAGATGATCCACGCAGTGAACGTCCAAAAAGCGCATCAACACCAGAAATCATTGAGCAAATACATGTTATTGTTTCTGAAGATCCAAGTGTGACTACGCGTGAAATTGCTCATACCATAGGCATTTCAGATGAACGGGTACGGCATATTTCTCTCTTTCTCACTGGTAAATGATTCTGCTTTTTATTTATTTTTTCAAACTGTTCTTAGAAGTATCAGTAAAATTAATTCAATTTAACATTATTGGTGTATGGTCTTATATTCTTGACTGGATCTAAGAGCATGCATAGACCAATCAGATGTATCAAGAGGCACGGTAGTGCTTATTATGCGCGAAACTGCGAGTTTAAACGAGGTGAGATTTTCATATCTCAGCAATGACTGAACCAATCGAGGTTTTTTTAGTCCCAATCGATTCGGCCTTCAAAAATAGGAAGAAAAGTGTTCTTGTGCTTTTTGTGTACGTTGTCTCTAAGTGGAGATATTTTAAGATAAGTCTGAATCACGGAAAATCTCGATTCAGTAAGAAATGTCGGACACGAAGGAGTGGGGCAAAACGTGCACATTGTTTTCCCGACACCAGTGGTACGATTCTTTAACTCGTTATTGGAGTTAACGACACTTTCGTTATCGTTGCGTAGCTTTTGTATACCGTAAAAAAGCTGCACAACGATAACGAAACTATCGTTAACTCCAATAACGAGTTACAAAATCGCACCACAGGGGCGCTACGAGAGCGCTGAAGAGCAAACAGCAGCGAATGCGAGCAAGCGAGAGAGAGTGAGAGAGAGGTGCTTATTGACTCGTTGTCTAGGAAGATTGCTGTTCAATTTTTTTTATAACATAGTATACATACATTAACCTATTTCTTCCCAATGTTGCGTATACGCAACACGAAGTTTATATAGTTAACTACTGACGTCAGTAATTATTTTTTTCACGAAGTGTTAGACTGAAATAAGTTCATTTTGACTGCATTTTGTGAAGTTAAACTTCGTGTTGCGTATACGCAACATTGGGAAGAAATGGTGGGTTAAGTACGCAACATCGGTGCATCGTCATCAGTGGGATATACATTAGTGATTGATTAGGATTTTTTGATTAAACATCATGTAATTGATTAAGAATATATACATACATTAAGTACGCAACATCGGTGCATCGTCATCATCAGTGGGATACACATTAGTGATTGATTAGGATATTTTTTGATTAAACATCAGTGATTGATTAAGAAGTATGATTATTAACAAAAATGATTATTAACAAAAATGATTATTAACAAAAATGATTATTAACAAAAACATGCAAGGAAGTTTACGAATTTGCGCAGAAAGGAGCTTCGGACATTCCTGCTATAGAAAATCTCATCAAGGACTTCACACCGCCGCGAAAAAAGAAAAAAAGCATCAGTGTGGTCTATGTATTGCTGGAAAATACAACTTAAGGACTCGGGTATGTTAAATTTTATACTATCCCCTCATCTTATTTGCTTCTAATTCGTACGTTTCATCTGAATGAATAAGTGCTAATCACGTGCACAATTTTGCACCTTATGATCATCCCGACCGTCAGTGTGATAATTCATGCCCATGCATATACAAGCACAAAACTTCTGCGAGAAGTTTTATCAGTTTTATCAGCAGCGAATGCCAGAACAGATTTCCTGAGTGTAGGTGCAAAGCGCAATGCAATACAAAGCAGTGTCCTCGTTATCTGGTTATCAGGGAATGTGATCCGGATCTTTGCCAAACGTATGGTGCAGATCATTTCCAAATCAATTATATTATATTATATTATATATATTATATTATATTATATTATATTATGTATTATATTATATTATGTTATGTTATATTAAATAAAATTAAATTTTAATATATAAAATTAAAATTATTTATTAAAATTACAGTTACCTGTATTACCGACTATTAGATTATAAACGTTTTAAAATTATCTTAAATAAGACGTCGTTTAGACGTCTTAAATTAATGTCTAAAAGACATCTTAAAATAATGTCTAAAAGGCGTCTAAAAGGCATTAAAATAATATCTAAAAGACGTCTTAAATCGGGACGTAAGATGTCTTAAAGACGTCATAAAGGCATCATTCTGACAACTTTTTAAGACGTCTAAAAAAATGTTAAGACGTCTTTTAAATGTCATATTGTTGTGTGGGTAAGGTATAGAATGGAAGAATAAAGGAATGGGGGTTAGGTAAAATAATTTTATAAATAAAAATAGCATGTGTAATGAAAAATAAATTTTATTTGCCAAAAATCTTATCGGATACTAATATTTGTTGTATGGGTAAAGAAAACCACCAAAAACTTTACCAGTGTCCTTACAGTGGCCTAATAAAAATATTTAACGTTTTTAATTAAAAAAATCAGTGTAACTTATAACATTAAAAATGAATAATTCATTTCATATAAGAATACAAATTATTTCTAACGTATTAAGTGTCAATTATACATCTAGTTTTTTTTAAGAATGTATAATAAATTTTTATGTATTGTTATATTATATTAATAAGTTTAAAAAAGAAAAGATGAAAATAAATTATTGTTTTAAATTAATTTTAAACCATCTTTGTTATCATTTTTATTATTATTTTATAATAATTTTATAATTATTTTATAATATTATTTTATAATAATAATTTTTATTACATTTTAACGATCACAGACAAAATATCTGATAACTTAAATTGTTATTAATACATATTATTATAATCTACATATTGCTATTTAGCATTCACATGCATAGCAATGTATCAAACATCAACATATGACAGACTTCACATAGAAAATAATATTAATATTGCACATTATAATGAGTAGAAAAAGATTAAAGATTTGTAAAAAGTAAAATAAAAAATCAAGAACTACCAGATGCATTAAAATTTGTCCCATACAAGATTTTTGTATGATTTTCGTAAGTACTAACAATCTTTAGCATAAATTTTCGTGTTGGTAAAAGGATTTGGAGGTAATTCAAGAGTTATGACAATATCGACTGTTTCACCATACCGAAGATAACACGATTATATCCTTGCTTTGTTTCTATGTCTTGTAGAATTTAATTTTCAAACAGTGAAAAGGGGGGAGAAGTAGTTCCTGAGAGTTTATAATTAACGTATACATAAACTTGAATTGCCTGAACTTGTTA